ATAACTTACTAATAATATAATACCATAAGTATTAAATAAATAATAAATAAATTAAATAAAATAAAGTTAATCATGTAAATATTAACTATATTCAAATTTTATAAAAATTTATAAATAAATCAAGTACGTACATTTTATAGTATTATAATATATAACATTTTTAAATATATAATAAAATATATAAAAATAAATATATAATAGTATATTTAAATTTTTTGTATTGTTAAAAAATTAAATTAATTTTTTAATCATAATTTATTGATGATCTAAAATGTATTTTTATTTTATTATTTTATTATATTATAGTCAAAAATGTGTCCAGCACTTCTAGAAAATGAAGAACGATGTTTTGGTGGAATGACATTTTTTGCCCAAAGTCATCCAGTCGAAGTTTGTGGTAGTAATGGTTTACCTCTTACACCAAATTCAATAACTATTTATGGAAAATCTCAATTTTTAAAAACTATTCATCATCCAAATTTATCTACATATCTTGATATAATTAGAAGTAAACATGGTAAAAATTTAAAAAATTAAAAAATAAATAATATTCCATATAATTATTTAATTAAAATTTATTTTTATAGAACGCATAGTAGTGGTTGCAGAATATAATGGAGACCCATTGAACAACAAACAAAATTTAAACATAGATAATATTATAAAAATAGCATTTCAATGTTTATTAGGTTTACAACATATGAATATGTTAAATTTAGTACATAGACATTTAAGTCCTGAAAATATATTAATTAATAAAAGTGGAAATGTACAATTATATAATTTTGGTTTATATTATATGACAGATAATGGAAAAAATGTATCTTTTCCTATTGGGTATGTATTAATAAAACTTAAAACTTAAAACTTAAAACAAATAATTTTAAGAATATAGATTTAATATAATTTTTTAAATTTGTGATTTTAAATATTTAGAGATAAAAAAAATATAAATAACAAGTATTTCTTAAATATATAGTGCATTTTATTTTTAGTTATCCAAAATATACAGCACCTGAAGTATTTTTAAGTCCTGGTATCAGTAGTGCAAAAGTAGATTCTTGGTCTTTAGGAATAATTATTGCAGAATTACTATTGGCAAAATCAATATGGTCAGGTGTAAAATTATCCCAATGTTTACGAAAGGTTCTTAGTCTCGTTCATTGTGAAACTTCTGTATTTGAACGTCTTGCAAGAGAAACCAATTGTTATAACACATATAAGGTAATTTTTTTCATTTATATTTGACATTTCATATTTATCTTTGTAATTGTAATATTTTATTATTATAATAGGATTTACCTGATAAAGTAAAAGAATTTGTAGATTCTTGCCTTCAAATTCATCCTTCAAAACGCAAAATACCAGAAGAATTATTAAAATTGCCAATATTTGAAGAATTTTTATTAAAAAATGAAAAAGAAAAGAAAAAAAGTCTATATAAAAATGTAATTGTTAGGAAAATGGATGAATTGTATTATTTATGGCAATTAGCAGGAGGAGATATTACTGTAGAATTAAAGAAACAAGGACTTATCAGATCAAGACCACCTATTTTATCCATTCCAAAGTAACTATAATTTAATAAATTATTATATTATTTTATGTAATATTATTTTTTTAAAATAAAATATAATTTATTAATTCGTTTTTTAGTTTAGTAATACTTTTAGGTCAAATGTTTGGAAGAAGAGATACAGCAGGTTTACTTGATTTACGTGTTGTTAAAGTTCCTCTTGATACATTACGTCAACGTTTATCTCATATTCCATATATTGCAAATTATCCATGGTTAACAAATCAGTAAGTACAATAAATATAAATCTAAATTTCATTTTTTTCTTTTATCTTGTTTTAATGATTTGTTAATTATTTTATAGAATGCATGTTCAATCACAAGAAGATTTAATAGATGCTGCTTCTCAGTTACCTTTAATCATAAGAGAAAGAGATACAGAATATCAATTTTATAGAATTGTTTTATATGATAGATTGCTACAGGTAATTTAAAAATAGTAATTTTTCATAGAAAAATTAAAAATATATTTTTTTTGAACTTAATACATATAAAATTACATATTAAAAAATACATATTATAAATTATGAATTAAAATTTACATAGTAAAATATTTCTTATTTATTTATATTTTTTTATATTTATTTATTTATAATTTAGGTATATCCAATTACACGAGAAGTAATCATTAAAGAAGCACATAAAGATATACCACCACCTGTTAGAGGAGCTGTTTGGGCAGCATTACTTGGTATTACTGGTGATATTCAAAAACGTTATGATATGATTGATAAAGAAACACCAACTCATACAGATCGACAAGTAATTAATCTCACAATAATTAACAATAACATTAAATTATTTATTTTTAACATGTTAAAAATATCTTATATAGATAGAAGTAGATATACCAAGATGTCATCAATATAGTGAATTATTGTCATCTGGTGCTGGTCATGAGAGATTACAAAGATTACTCAAAGCATGGGTTCGAAATAATCCTCATTATGTTTATTGGCAAGGATTAGATTCTTTAACAGCTCCATTTCTTTATCTTAACTTTAATAACGAAGGTAATAATTTAAATATATCACAAAGTATATTTATAGTATATATATATAATATATATATATATTATAGTTATATTATATTTATAATATATATATAGTATATATAGTATATATATTATAGTTATTATATTTATAGTATATATTATTTATTATATATTGTAATTTCAGCTAGAGCATTTGAATGTTTGTCTGCATTTATACCAAAATATCTTCACAAATTCTTCTTAAAAGATAATTCAGCTGTTATACAAGAATATTTAGGAAAATTTTCACAAATTATAGCTTTTCATGATCCTCAATTAGCTAATCATCTTAGATCAATTAATTTTGTACCAGAATTATTTGCTATTCCATGGTTTCTAACAATGTTTTCACGTAAGTTATTTATCTTATTATTATTCGAATTATGTAAAATTTTTTTTACTGTTTTTGTTTCACTTTTTAATTTTTTTATTTTAGATGTTTTTCCACTTCACAAAATACTCCATTTATGGGATAAACTCTTATTAGGAGATTCTTCATTTCCACTTCTTGTTGGATTAGCTATATTGAAACAATTGCGAGATTCTCTTTTAACTTCAGGTTTTAATGAATGTATTCTTTTATTTTCTGATCTTCCTGAAATCGATATAGAATTATGTGTTAAAGATTCTATGATGATGTATCAAAGTACACCACCTAGTATTACTTATAGAAAACATCAATTTAATCAACCAAAGGTATAAATTAATATGTTATGTTATGATATATTTATATGTATTTAATAATTTATTGCTATAATTATATAAATTAAATAATAAATAATAATAAATTGTAAAAAATTCTTAAATATTTTTTTACAGGATATAAATTGGTCAGAATTAGAACCTGGAACTGAAAAAATGCCTAGAATTTCTGTTGATGATTTTTTAGATTTATTAGATAATAGTCCTGAGAAATTGATAGCTGTAGATGTACGTAATAATATACAGTGAGTATTTTACAAAAAAATTATAGTTATTCCAAATTATTTTTTCTATATAATAGTTATTATTTTTATATAGATTTGAAAGAGGTGCTGTAATAGGTAGTATTAATATTCCATTTACAAGTGTACAACTTTCTCTAACTCATATTGAAACCCTTGGACCACATGCAAAACCACTTGTAGAAAATAAAAATAGTATTGTCATAATTATTGGACCCCATGATCAAAATAATGCATTGGTAAATATTATATGTATTATGAAATTTATATTTTTCAATATTAAGACTTTTATAGTTAGTTAAAAATTTTGTAGTTTGCAGATTTCTTAGTAAAATGTGGAATTATGGGTGTATGTTCTTTACAAGGAGGAATTTCTGCTTTACGGGCGAAATCTCCAAATATTATAATAGCAGTGCGTTAAAAAATAATATTTATAATATATATAATATAAAAAATATATATATATTTGTATAGGTAT